CCCCCCCTTTTCTTCCCATATTCAGGCTTTTGCTGTATTTCATTCAGTTCATTTGGGGCGGGCTTGAGTCACAGCTGTCATTTATTCACAGTGCTTCAAGTTCCCAAGAACCAACTGACTTGAGTTTTTAGAACCACTGTGGTATAGAAAAGTACCTAAAATAATTATTTCGTATCAATAGTTACGCTGGGAAGGAGTACTCTCGGTGTAACTATTCCAGTTATGTACACTGTCTAGTTGGAGTTAATTCCAGTGGAATAAACGTGCATTTTCTTTTTTTCTTTTTAGAAGAAAAAGTGACATGTAGACATAGTAAGTCCATGCAGTGCCAATGGAGTTTTAATTTTGGAGTCTGTAGTACTCACCAGCTAGTGTTGGACTGAGTGAGGCAAATTTGAGCCCTTGGTACTAAGTAAATTTCTTTTTCATCATATGTGGTTTATGATCTTTTAGGTGGATGCCCCCAGAAAAAGTAACAAAGTTTTAATTTTGCTTCCGAATAGTGTACTACAGAATACTTTAAACAGATGTGTGGCGTTTTCTATGATGACATTTAAAAGTTAACTTCAGCAGCAGATTGGAACTCAGAATATGCTGTGGACTCCCCCTTCCCGCTCATCTCTTTCCAGTTTTAGTCTCTGTGGGATGTTAGGAGCCCACCTGTGATTTGGCGTCAGGGGTACCATGTAATGCAAGCACTGATCTACGTATTTTTGCTCTGAACTTGACTGATGTAGGGTAGTCCTGCTGTAGACTTTGTGCCAACATCTTCTCTAGGGCTAGTGTGCGGGTCACACTGAGCCTGATGGTGACAGTGAGGTCAAGGTTGCGGGCCACCTCCTTGGGAGGACCAGGTAGCTTTGCCCTATTACATGGCCACAAGCCTCCTTCTGAATGCAGCTGCTGTCTCAGAGGTTCATGCTGTAGCCGGAAGGGTCCCAAACCAGAAGTTCCAACTACATGGCACCGATGGATCTATCACTGAGAAATCACCAAACACTTAAATCTACACCAAGCACATGCTAGGTATGGGGAACACAGTCGTAAAAAGGATAATGCTGTCTTCTTGGCCCGTGTACCACATACACTTAAATATAACACTGGTTTCCCCTCACAATTATCTTCTGGAAAAGAGGGAATCATATTGTATTCGAGTCTCTTATAAAGCAAGGATTATCTTAGCTGCCCAAGAAAGTGCTGCTTAGGGAAGGCACATTTGCTTGAAGCAAACTTTTTTTGTGCTACCTTTAGTTGTGTATTATGGAGGTCATCTGTCAGAAAAGAAAAGAGATTTGATTTGATTGAGAAATTATTAAGAAGATAAGCAGGTTAAAGATCACTTTAAAAAGCAGTACAGCAAGTAGTTACATTGTTGACATGAATACACACTTAGCAGGTGAGTGGGGGAAAAAATACCCATGTGCCATAATGATACCTGACTGTACTTGAAGCTTGAGATAAAGTTTCTAGAATTCAAATATGGCACTGCAGACAGCTGACAGTAAAGATGATCAGCTATATGACTCAATAGATTTAGTTGATGGGAAAGATGCTGATGATGTGAAAGGCAGCAAGAAGCAATAATTCTAAGTTAACGTTATTTTAGATGATCGGTGATTTAAAAAAGCTCTGTGTAGTTAAATTCATGCAATGAATATTATAAGCATACATTTGCTTATATCAAATTCAGAAGTTTGAGTGGACACAAACTTTTTTTAAGCTTCTCATTGGAGAATATGCAGAATTGATTTAATTTTGGGGTTGCTTTGCATTTGCAGATACTTGGTTATATGGTAGAGGAGACCTGACTAAACAATAAAGGGGCAATTATAGCAGGAAGCCGCAGTAGAGGGAGAGAAGAGAATGGGCACAAAATAGCCTGGGAAGTCAGGGCTGACTTCTTGGAGGAAGTGACACCCAAACTAAACCTGAAGGACAAATAGGAATTAGCTAGGTGGGTTTGGGGAGGAAGCGTTAGAGAGAGTATATAGTGATTCCAGGCAAGCCAAGCTCTGGCCCTTTCAGAAAACTGCGAATACTGCAGTGTGGCTGGGGGTAGACTGCAGGGGAAAGAGGGAGCTAGGGTATAGAGGTGTAGTGGGAGGTCAGCAGGCACCGAATCACAGAGGATGTAGCACAGTGCCTTGCTAAATTTGGATGTCCTGATGAGAAGAATGCAGGGACTTTCTGGTGGGTTATAAGGAGGGGAGTGAGGTTCTGTACTAACTGAGCTAACCCATCTTTGCTGTGGTGTAAAGGAAGGATCAGAGAGCCCCATTGTCCCGTGGAAATGGCTGAAGAGTGGGTTGGGCATCCTCTGACCCTGCACTCAGTATGCTTGTTCCTCTCACCTTGTTCCAGGTGTGGGCACTGCCAGAGGCTGCAGCCTACTTGGAACGAACTTGGAGACAAGTACAACAGCATGGAAGATGCCAAAGTCTACGTGGCTAAAGTGGACTGCACGGCCAACTCAGACGTGTGCTCCGCCCAGGGGGTCCGAGGATACCCCACGTAAGTGCGACGGGCACATGCTTCCTGTATCTTCCAGGTTTTCCACATCTTTTGGCCAGCTGCCGTTGGCCAAGGAAAGTCTAAGTTACATTTTTGGTATCTTCCTTTGTAGGTCTGAGGAGTGAGGAGATGCTGAATTTAAGCAAGCAGTCCCTGGTGTTAGAAAAGACTATACTTAACACTAAGTCTATATTGGCTTTTTGTACCTTGTATGGAAAAAGCCTTTAATTAATCAGTGTTGGGTTTTCCTGTTTATAAGAGCGGTCTCCATGAGGTCCTGTCACGTTCGATGTTCACGAGGACATTGCACAATGAATGCAGATTTTGTCATCAATTTAGTATGAATTTTTGGTCACTACTGTATTATTTCTAAGCATCTTTCCTAGAGTAATTTTCCGTGTGACTAGCACAAGGCTATTTCTGTTGGACAGAAAGGTAACAAAATGGAATACAGCGGTTCTGACAAGTGATGTTCTTTACTCCTTTGACAGTTAAAAGTTTTTTGATTTTAAGAAATAGAAATTGAAACTGGCTTAATAAACAAAAGGGGATTAATGAGTAGGCTGTGAGGGACACTCTGAAACTCAGCTGCAAAGATTTGGGGGCCTGTTTCTACTTCGTCCCCCTATGGTGTCTTAACTTTCTGGCTCTGCTTCTCTCTGTTGCCATGGTGGGCTTGGGCACACCACTAACTGGCCAGCTTGGATAGTCCTTGTGGCCAGAGAGGCAGGATCTTGTAGGAAGACAGCAGCCCCATTCAGACCACATGGCAACTGCCAGAGTGAAGGGCCCTTCTCCAAAACAGGGAAGACACCGGTTCCAGAAGGATGGGANGCCCTTCTCCAAAACAGGGAAGACACCATTTCCAGAAGGATGGGGGAGGGGTTGGCTACTGCACCTCCCAAAATGTTTGTTTCCATTGATGAATTAAGTAAAGTCTCTATAAAACCTGAGCTTAGCTTCAAACCTGGAAGTCAATATGGAAAAGAGGAAGGAGCTCTGGGCAGGAACCTAGAAGCCAGGGTTTGAATCCCACTCAGCCCTACCATCTACTTGTCATGGAACTCTGGCTACATTGTTTAACCTCTGAGTCTGAAGTATGGTGCTGATATCCACCCGCACCCCCCTAAACTGTTATTAAGTAGAATATGTGCAAACACCAATCTGAGCATACCCAGCAAATGTTGGGTTTCCCTAACATTTGGAAATTTGGCATTTTCACATAGGACTCCGGAACTCTTGGTCTTTGGTGAATGCTTGCTAATCTAAGGGCCATAATTCAAGTCTACATCAAGTCAGATCAAATAGAGATAAAATATCCCACTATACACACCTGCCTAAAGGGCTCCACTGTCCTATGCTTCATAGCATTGCCTTTAAACTCTGCTTGAATAGAGAGTTTCCCAAAGAAGTGGTCACTGAGTAGTGGGAGCAGGTGAGGACATGGATGCTCACCTGTTGAGAGCCTGTTACTTCAAGGCACAGGGGCAGCAGAGATGGTTGGCTGTGGTGGCCACTCTTAAAACAGCTGGCCGTCTGTGGCCACGTGGCTGTGTACACCACAGATGTGCCTCAGGGAAGGGGAAACAGCAGGAGCTGTAACAGGGCTGAGACGGCACATGTTAGAGGGCAGCAGAGAGGAGATTAGAGGGCTCCACCTGGACCTGGCTATAAGAGCTTATCTGGCTGCAACTCCATAGATGCTTGTCACAGATTTTATTTTTTTATTTTATTTTTTATTTTTTAAATATATCTTTATTGATTTCAGAGAGAGGAAAGGAGAGGGAGAGAGAGAGATAGAAACATCAATGATGAGAGTCATTGATCGAGCCCGCAACCCGGGCATGTGCCCTGACTGGGAATCGAACCCCGATTGCCTGGATCCTAGGTTGACGCTCAACCGCTGAGCCATGGCCGGCCGGGCCTTGTCACAGATTTTAAAAGATCTGTGTTGGGTCATATGTCCTGATTTTTATTTAGATGATACAGTCTCCCAAATAAAGCCATGCATTGACTTTGTGTTGTAAAAATAAAGTTAAATGAGCTTCACTATGCTGAATGTGGTTTGGGAAGAAACCTCCATGACCATGACACACAGGTGCCTGAGGAGAGATGTTTTAAATTGAAGCAGGAGGCAGAATGTGCTGCATAAAATGTAGTCATATTAGGGCATCATAAGTTACCTGTTGAGCTTTTACTTCTTCTAAAGCAGCACTCACCTCATAGAGACGCTGCAGGGCCTGAGTCGCACAGTGAATGTCAAGGCCTGAGCGTGAGCTGTGCGTCAGCATGTCTGCTCTTACGTCCTTCCTGGCACCTTTAGCTGGAGGAGGGTTGGAGAGGGGGGCATTTGGGTTCCCTTGCCCCTACAGCGGCTAACTATGCTCAGGAAAATGTTGAGGTCTTCCTTTTGAGTCAGGAAATAATCTTTATTATCTGGGAAAACAGGAGGAGGGGCAGGGCTGAAAGAGGTTTCCTAGGGCTGCGTAACAGTGCCACAAACACGCTGGCTAAAAACAAAAATTTATTCTCACAGTTCTGGAGGCCAGAAGCTTGAAATCAAGGCAGTAGCAGGGCCATACTCCCTTTGAAATCTGTCAGATCCTTCTTTGCCTTTTCCCTGCTTCTGGTGGTTTGCTGGCAATCTTTGGTGTTCCTTGGCTTGTAGATGCATCACTCCAGTCCTCCCTCTCCCTGTGGCCGCCTCCTGCGTGCAGGCCTCTCCATGTGTCCAAATTTCTCCTTTTTATAAGGACAGTCGTAGTAAAGGAGGGCGCACCCTATTAGCTGCAGTTGAACTTACCTCCATAACATCCTCTTTCCACATAAGACCACATTCTCAGGTACTGTGGGTTAGGACTTCAACAGATCTGTTTTGGGGGACACAATTCAACCCAGAGCACCATCTCATCGCTTGTGGTAGAACTTTTGTCACACTGTTTTCCAGAGTGAGCCATAAACGGCGATTTTTCTCCCCTACAGTCCTCAAATGCCCATATGGAGGTTGGTGATAGCAGAATAGTTTGGGCCTGTACTTTGGCCTTATACCTGTGGCTGTCTCTCCATCACTCCTTCATCTCCTTCTATAGTGAGAGTTGAAGTCTGACTGAACAGTCTATAAAGGATGCTCTAATTCTATCCCCAGGCTCTATGAACCGTAGGAAGAATCTCAGACTTGGGCAGGCAGAAAGATTTTCAATCCAAGAAGAAGAGATTTTAAAAAATTGTTTATTTTGTTTTTGCTCAAAGCACACCAAAATAGAAAAACATCACAGGTTGGGTTTTACTGATTTTTTTATATATTTTTAAAAAATAAATCTTTCTTGATTTCAGAGAGAGGACAGGAGGGGGGAGAGAGAGATAGAAACATCAATGATGAGAGAATCATTGATCAAGCCCGCAACCCGGGCATGTGCCCTGACCGGGAATCAAACCCCGATCGCCCAGATCCTAGGTCAACGCTCAACCGCTGAGCCACGCTCGGCCGGGAGAGTTTTACTGATTTTTAAAGTTAGCAAAGAAATGGGGAATAAGCTTGACAGCATCTGGTCCTTCCTGATATTTTGAGGATTCTGAAGCTCTTAGTGGAGAGAGGTGCTTAGAAGAGGGAAGGGAGGTGGAGGACTGTGAGCATCTTCTAGTTCTCTGGGCAAAGCACGTATTTCCAGAGCTTCACTTGGTCCCACGGGTGGGGGTGGGCATTCATAACTGTGAGATTATACTTTTGAGTTGCTTAAAATGTTAAACTTCAGGAAGTCATAGGCATACCGGCCAAATCTAGTTAGACTTTGGTGTTCTGTTATGGTTGTAAAAGTATAAGCTACTGGGAAGTGGCACATACATACTTTGTTGGAAGCACATTAGTAATGTCGCCTAAGCCCATCACAGGATCTCATCACCTGGGTGAGGCCAGTAAGCCGGTTTTAATTCAAATACCTACTGCAGCCAATGTGTTGGTTTTCTCGTATAGCTGTGAATCTGCATTTTAAGGCATTTGGGGAGTTAGCTAATCAAACACACAGCTCTGATCGCTGCACATCTTGACTTCTTAAATTCTGACCCTGCCTATTGGGCATCTACTAACAAACTCCAGGTACATGCTGTAGAAGTGTTGGGGTGTTTGAGGTGACAGGCTTGCCAAAAAAAGCTAGTCTGTTTTTTGTTTTTTTGTCAGTAGCCACATTTCCCTCTCCATCCTTGACACCTTCTATTAATTCTGTCAGTAGAAGAATTCCCCCCAATTCCTTGACACTTTCTCCAAAGTTTCATCTAGAGCATGTTTTCCCATGACCAGGGGCAGGAGACAAGCTCTGGAAGCATTAGTTGCAGCCTCTGGTGATGTCTTTTGCTCACCTCTAAAGGAGTGCTCCGCATCCTATCTGCAGATATCTTTAGAGGCGAGTATGTGGAGAAAAAAAGAAGATTCCTTCTCTGTGGGGAAGTGAATAGACTATCAGCCACTGTCAAAGTTGTTCTTATAGTTGGAGACTTGAATTCTCATGATACCTGGATGTTCATGCTCTGTAAGAGTCGAGGAGCTGACATGGCAGTCTGGAAATGCAATGATGTTTCTACTACAGTTATCATTTAAAGAAATAAAAAAAGCAGAATGTAAAACTACCAGAGCCTGGGAGGGAAGGGTAGCAAATGCCTGGCAGGGAGAGCTTGAGAGTTCTGCAAAGCCAAACACTTGCAGCTGGGGGTTTAATTCACAGCTTCAGGGTTGATGTGTTCACCTCAGCTGTATTTTTCTTGAATACAGTATAAAACTTTAAAAATTTTAGGATTATTGAATATATTATTTCCTAGAATATTTTATTTTATTTGCAAGTTTTATCAGAGAGTGGCAGCTACGTACCTGGCTGCAGCCCATTGATAACTCATTTTCTAATCGCTTCACTAAAGCAGTTTGCTCCCTGATATGACAGCGCTCTTACTCAGAGCAGTTTGAAGCGCTTTAAAAATCTGCTCTAATCCTTTGTTACCCTTTCAGCTTGAAGTTTTTCAAGCCTGGCCAAGAAGCTGTGAAATACCAAGGTCCCCGGGACTTCCAGGCACTGGAAAACTGGATGCTGCAGACGCTGAACGAGGAGCCCGCTGTGAGTGCCCAGAAAGCCCCTCCCTCTCTTTCTTCCTGCCTTTTTGGGTAATAAAGAGGCCAGTTTAGGTGAAAAATTAAGGATACCATTTTAAGGCTACTTTTTACTTCTTTATTACTCATTGATATAATAAGTAAAGATTAACTTCTTTTTCCTTCCCAATTTTTTTTTATTGTGGTAAAATACACATAAGACTTACCATCTTCACTATTTTCAAGTGTACAGTTCGATGGCATTAAATACATTCATAATGTTGTACCACCGTCACCACCATCCATCTCCAGAACCCTTTTCATCTCTAAAACTGAAACCCTACAGTTAAACACTAACCCCCCTATCGCCCTCCCCCAGCCCCTGGCAACCACCATTCTACTTTTTGTCTCAATGATTTTAACTCTAAGTATCTTATGTACAGAGGTACTTAGAGTTAAAGATTAACCTTTAAAAACTTTTTATTATGGAAATATTCAAACATGCACAAAAGTAGAAGAGTCTAGGGCAGCGATTTTCAACCAGTGTGCCACCAGAATTTTTAAAACATGCAATATCTGACTATTAGGGCACTGACCTCTTTTCCTTAGACTGTCAAAAAAACGACAACAGCCAACACAAATAGCCATTGGATGTGAATGAATGAAAATGATAATAATTTTTTTGTCAGGTCGGCAAAAAGTATAGTTTTTGGTGTGCCGCAGAATTTTAGTAATTAGTTTATTCGTCATGAAATGAAAAGGGTTGACCGTCCCTGGTCTAGTGAGTGATGTATGAATGATGTGGGGTGTAATGAAGATGGTATCCCATGTGCTCACCCCCCAGCTTCAACAAGTATCCCCATTTTGTCAATCTTGTTTTGTCTTAGCTGCCTCCCTGTCCCTTGTTTGGCTGCACTCAGTCCTTACCAAGTGTCATTAGTGAATATTTGAGTGTGCATCTCAGAGATAAGCATGTAGTACTTTCTAATGTGACCTCACTCTCACCTGGAATACAGTTAACAGTTATTCCTTAGCGTCAGAGATCCACTCTTGCCCACCTGGGGTCAGGGCCAGGCCTACACCAGACTGTCCAGTCTAGGCCAGCTTTGGCCCATACTCTCCACCTCCCACAGCTACTAGCTCGATCTCACTCCCACTCACTATATCCAAAGTGTGAATCTTTCCTTTTCTTCTCAACCCTGATTCCCTAAGACCCTAACTGGCTTTGCTGATAACATAATTTAATACTCTTAAAACTTTTAGTGTCTTAATGTTCCTCCCTACACTAGGGATAATACCAGGAAATTGTGGAAACTGTATGATTTCCGAGAGATTTTTTAGAAACATAACTCTGTGTAGAATGTTACTAAGAAATACTTATAATCCTCTCCTTCTCCATTTGACATTGGGAGTCTTGATTTTTTTATTGAAATCATTGGCATTGTAAATCATTCACTGCGTGTCCCTTTGCATGGTGCTTTCTGGTGAGTGCTGAGTGCCAGTCCATGGGGCTCTGGGGGCTTTGGGGTCTGTGGTGTTGTATTGGTGGGGACTGGAAAGGTGGCCAGTCTTCCCATGCTCAATGTTCCTGATGAAAAATTTAAGAGCAGCCGAAGTCTGTGAATGTAATTTTAATTTAAGCACTTATCTGAGACTACTTTATTGTATCAGATAGGTGTTCACAGATGTAAAGGTGGCTTGTGCTCATGTGCAACTCTAGTGGTCTTTCAGGGGCTCAGCTGCTATTGGTGTCATTTTCCAGGGTGTCTGTGTCGTCCTTCAACTCTCCCCCACGTCACAGCGAATCAGAAACCTGCTGCTTCCAACCCATACCTGTACTCACATTTTAAAGTCTATAAGTATATGGTGAAGAATGCTGGAATATGGTGTTGAATAAGCTCACCAGAGACTTATCTAATTTTAGGTAACAGGGAAAACGACAAACCTCTCAGGATAATTTGCATGAAGGCTGGGGAGCCAGGTGTGACTTTCATGTAGATTTTAACTTGTTTTCTTTATGAAAATGTTCTCTGATGAGAGGAAGCTGATTTTAAAGAGGATGTAATAGTCTCAAAAAAACTTTTAAAATAAACTTTTCACCAAAAATAAATAATCTTAAGAAACCCACAGCCAGTATTAGGATGGCTGTGAGACTTCATCTGTGGGCCAACTTCCCGTTCGTAGGGGACAACCTGACATGCAGGCTGGGGAGGACTGTGGGGAGGGCCAGGCTCAGCGTAGATGTCCTGAGAACCAGTGTCCTGACTCTGGTGTGGGAGGGTGTGGTTGCATGGAATCCACCCATGGCCACCCTAGAGCCACAGTTAACCCACTGGCCGTGTCTTAGTCCCTCAGAGCAACGGGGACCTCAGACCATTGCTAGAAACAATGACAGTGTGCCACACTGTACAAAAGCTCAAATATTCCAACTTTATATTGCAAAGTGAAGTCCTTTTCAGTTTGAACTTTGCTGTTTATTGTAAGCAGACATTTTTTTTAAAGTTTCTCTCGTCTGTATTTATACCTAAGCGACCTGATACGTGCATTTTTATATTTAGACAGGATAAATTTAGATTTCCCCCCGAGTGCGTGGCAATCGTAAAGAAACTCAAAGGGAAGAAAACCTACCATTTCTTACAGTCTACCCCAATTTTTGTATTTCTGTGTTTGCTTCTGTGTTTTCCTCTTAAACAGTTATACTCATATAAACATAGTTTACATTGTAAATGATCTCCTTATGTAGTTATTTTGTTTTTATGCTGGTCACGTATCATGTGCATTTGCCATAGTCCACCTCTTCTCTGTCAATGGATGTTATTTATAATTTCCTTCATCAGAAATGGTATAAGGAACGTGTTTTATCTTTTTAAGGACTTTTTCCCCCATCAGTGATGTTTTTAGAATATATTCCCAGACATAAAATAGCAAGGCAAAATAAAATAAAAGCAAGACCACTTTTATGGCTCTTGATCAATATGGGCAGATTTTATTTCTTAAGCATCTAGAGTGTGCCCACTTCTGTTATCTACTGTGGTGTTCCCATGCGGCGTCTGCCACAGAGCACAGAAAGTGATGGTATCCCCTAGCTGCCATCAGTGACTTTTAATACTGAAAGCCCTTTGAACATCTTACAACGCGCAGAGTGCTTTGTTCCACCTGTTGGAACTCACCGACTGTTCACCTAGCCGCCATTCTCATCATTGGGCTTCCTTTGTGTGGGTGCCTGGCACCTTGGGAGCTTTGACAGGACAGCAGCAGAAGGGAAAGCTTCATGGGGTTTATGATTACAGCGCTGTGCACCTTTGAGCTGTCAGCACTTTTATTTATTTATTTATTTTAAATATATCTTTATTGATTTCAGAGAGAGGAAAGGAGAGGGAGAGAGAGAGAGAAACATCAATGATGAGAGAGTCATTGATCAAGCCTGCAACCAGGCATGTGCCCTGACCGGGGAATGAACCCCGCTCGCCTGGATCCTAGGTCAACGCTCAACCGCTGAGCCACGCCCGGCCGGGCTGTCAGCACTTTTAAAGCTTTTGGTGACTTAACTTGGGTATTCTTTTTATTAGAAATATGAACTGCTCGTAACAATTGAGTAACATCCATGTGTCTACAGCAAAATGGCAATTCAGTGATCTCTTCACCCCAGCTGTACTGGTCTCAAAAATCGACAGACTTAGAATTGTGTAGTTAGTACTATGGTAACTAAATAGTTATGCTCCTTGGTGTCCGCTCAGGTACTGGCGGCAGAGCATCTTTTTTTTAAAATTTTTTTATTGATTGATTGTAGAGAGAAACACTGATTGGTTGTTGCACTTATTCATGCATTCATTGATGGATTTCTTTTTTTAATCCTCACGTGAGGATATTTTTTCCATTGCTTTTCAGGGAGAGTGGGAGGGAGAGAGCGAGCGAGAAACATCGCTGTGAGAGAGACATTGACTGGTTGCCTTCCGCACGTGCCCTGACTGGGGCTGGGGATCGAGCCTGCAGCAGAGGTACGTGCCCTTGGCCGGAATCAAGCACGGACCCTTCAGTCCACGGGCCGACGTTCTGACCAGAGCCAAGCCGGCCAGGGCCATTTGATTTTCATATGTGCCCTGACCAGGGATTGAACCTGCGACCTTGGCATATCCAGACAATGCTCTGACCGACCGAGCTCCCTGGCCAGGGCAGAGTCGTCCTTCTTAAAAAGCCACTTCTTGCACCTTCATTGTGTGTTTCTGTCGCAAACTCAGTCATGTGAGTTACATTCTTTCTTAAAAGTACAGCTCATGTTTGCACTGGGTTTTTCTTTGTTGCCATAATTCATCTGGATTTACCTTCTTGTCACCCACTTTTCTCTCATCAGTCCTTCCAGGTTTTACCTTCCTTCACGGTTTTCTGTTACTTGCTTTTCACCATGTGTGTGAATAAATGACAGCCAGGCCAGCCTTTTCTCGGGTGGTTTTTTGTTCTGTTTTGCTCTCTTTGTGCCTGTAGGCACTCCTTCCTTCAGATCCATCAGGAATTTCATTTTGTATTCTATGTGAAACCTCAGATCACACTTCAAAGGACGGAACAGAGTGCTTGTTGTGGGAGAAGCTGCTCTTTAGTTTGTCTGCTCCATTTGGTTGGGTTTGGGGGCAGCAAAGGACAGGCTGGGGTGGGGATGGTGGTCATCTGCTTCCTGAGGGGCTTCTTATTGAAGTTTCCCGAAGACCTGACAGTCGAATCCTGCCCTGGCCTCTCCCAAACAACAGCAGCCCCTAAAGGTTCAAGATAGCCAGGTGAGGAAGGAGATCTGCAGAAGGCTCTAGAGTCTAGACAAACACAGGTCTCCTCCTTGCTGGCTTTCACTAAGTCTTCACAAACAAACTCAGTGACTGTATTTTTGTTTCTTCCTATTAGACACCAGAGCCAGTAGTAGAACCACCCAGAGCCCCTGAGCTTAAGCAGGGGCTGTATGAACTTTCAGCGAGCAACTTCGAGCTGCACGTCGCACAAGGTAAGGCAGGCGGATCTTGTGGGCGTTCCCAGTGGGATGCACACCTCAGAACCTGACCACTCATTACTTCTTGACTTGCTGGGCTGGTTCTTGCCACCTGAGAGCTCATAGAAAGCAGCTTCTGTGGCATAAGTAAGGATTTCCCTCTTCAGGGACCATTAACACCATTGTTCAGTGCTCTTCCTCTCCTCCTCTTTGTCCATGAGGAAATGAGAGTTTTCATGCTAAGCTAAAGCCTTCGATGTGAGAATTTGGAGCTCACAAATCGTGAGTGACACACCTAATTCATACACTAGCTGGGCAAGTGCATCCTTGGACAAGAAAGTGTGTGTTTATATTAATGTTAATCATATGCTTATTGATCTGAGGCAGAAAATAAAACTTTCTCTTGTCTGCCCTGGCCGATGTGGCTCATTTGGTTGGAACACTGTCCCGTGCACTGGAAGGTGGTGGGTTCAGTTCCCAGTCAGGGCGCATACCTAGGTTGTAGGTTAGACCCCCAGTCAGGGTGCATATGAGAGGCAACTGATCAATGTATCTTTCTCACTTTAATGTTTCTCTCTCTCCCTTCCTCTCTAAAATCAATTAAAAAACAACTTTCTCTTAATCCGTTTAAACTAGAATTTAGTTTGTTTAGTGGAACTATTATAACGTGAGTCAGAGTATGTGTTCTTTACACTTAAAATCTTTTCTTAGAGCACATCTCATTTTTCAAAGTGGTCTCTAAATATGGAAATGATCTGTTTGCGTTTCTGATGTTAATAAGTTCTTCACACATTTCAGAAGAGTTGGCTCAGTAGTGAATGACTTGAGAGCACGTTCAGCTTTCTTGCTGACTCCATTCTCACGTGCTACCAGGGAGAGGAATCCTCCCCTAAGACTGGGTTGGAAATGTGAAAGGGGCTTAGAATCGTATCTGCCCTTGTGACTTTGTGCCTCCAGGGAGTCAGCCCCACCCCACTCAGTGTCTGATCAAGTTCCCCACCACACTGAAGGTCAGAAATAACCGTTGTGCCTTCAGCTGTCTCCCATTTCCCTTAGAGATGGCTGTTTCATTTGTGCCAGTGCTCTGACAGTGGAACTCTGAGAGTTTTCCCTGCAGGGGACTCGCTTTAACTTGAGACCAGCTTGGGCTCCCTACAAATGTGCTACGAGAATCACCTTGTTGTAGACCATTTCCCACAAGCCACCTGGTCCGTCCCTCAGCAAGGCCTCGCTGAAGGGCAGTGTCTAGCTTGCTGCCTGTGTGGCTGGCACAAGGCTCTCTCCTCGGAGAGCAGCTGCCTGCCTTGCAGCTTCCCGTTGCTACTCTGATGGGTCCCTGGATGTCCCGTCTCCACCTCCCCACACAACATTAGTAGCAGTTAGAAACGGGCGCAGCCTTGAAGCTCAGTTGCTAATTTTTTGAAGCAAGTTTTTCACCATTTCCTTCAAATGGGTCATTGCCATAGTGACGAGGCGCTGCTGTGAGTGTGGATGTGGCCACCTCCTGCCCAGTGCCAGTCACATTTCAGTGTCTATTGGTTCCTTTTCTCTATGGCCAGAGCCTGATTTCAGTCTGGTCTCAGCCTGACATCTTTTAGGCCCCAGGATGGTCAAGGAAGAACAGCCTAGAAATATATCTTCAGTGTCTAAATGATGATGTTTGAGGGTTTGGGTTCTTCCTCCAGCCGAGGGAGTAATAATTAGTTTTTTAAACCTTCTATTTTATTGTGAAATAAAACACAGATACAGGAAACAAATGTAGGGCTTAGTGAGTTATTATAAAGCAGTCACCCTGTAACCATTGTTGAATTCACCAAGAAGTGAACCTGCCTCCCTCCACGCACCCATCCCAGTCCCAACTGCCCTGAGGCGGCGCTGTCCTGATATAGGGAAACGGCTCTTTGCGTTTCCTTACAGCTTCCCCACCCCAGTGTGTGCTCCTAAATGCTATAGTTTAGTTGGTCTTTTAAGTATATCTCATAAGTCTTTAATTTACATGTACCCCAACATCTCTTTTCCTTCCTTGCGTTTGGTTTGCTCACCACGTAGGCTGTTTGACCTGTGGAGTCCTTACGATATGGCCTTTACTGGCTGTGCCCCCATGGCATAGCTTAATGTGTCCCTGATTTCTCTGTTTATTCCCTATAAACTGCTACTTGGATTGAGAGACATCATCAGTTTCCATTTGATGTTTTTGGGGGTTTGGGCAAGACTTCATAGCTGCTGAAGTCTCTCTGAGGTCAGCAACCATAGCAGTCACTGCCTAGATGTGTTCATTCATTCTGGATACCAGATGCTGCTGCTCTGAGTCAAGCATCCTGTCTTCATTTTTTTAGCAAGAGAAATTTGCCCTGGTTTATCAGTTGGTTATCCAAGCCAAGGTAAATGCCTGATTTTTTCCCCTTTGCTTCCAGTTTTCCATATAATAAGTGGGTTCCCTATTGTCCTCCAAAGATGACAGATTTGTTTGTGTTTTGAGGATCGTTAGGAACTCATAGACATTTTTGATGGAGAGTCCCTTTTTACCAGTGAAGGGTTCATACTGGGGTGAGCTTTCCAAGAGGACAAAGATGAGATGTTCCCATTCAATCTCCAGTTAGGTGTCATGTAAATTACACTCCTTTCTCCCCCTTTTCTGCCTTGGCTCCCACGGAAGGCGACCACTTTATCAAGTTCTTTGCTCCATGGTGTGGTCACTGCAAAGCTCTGGCTCCGACCTGGGAGCAGCTGGCCCTGGGCCTCGAACATTCCGAAACTGTCAAGATTGGCAAGGTAAGTGAAGCCCTTATTAAACTGGAAATAGACCGCTTTGGCTGGATTAATTAGCCCATTATTCATTCCGTGTGCAAAGTTGCAGACTTGATTTATTATTTCCATTTAGTGTGCCACTTGATAATTCATTTCACCTTCACAGATGGCAGCCCGGTTTCGAGTGTGCTGGCTTTTCCACAACCCAGAGATAAATTATGGCTTTGGCTCCTTTGTTTATTTTGAAGCGATGGCCAATTCTGAATTGGCAGCCCCAGAGCCCTTTCTGCAAAGATAGGGGGCGAGCCTTAGAGAATGTTCACTGGAAGTACTTGGACACTGTCCACATTTGATCTCACCCAAGAGCTCTTTCCTGAAGGACCCCGGGCTCTGCGTGCCCATAGGCACGCGGGAGACCCTCCCTGGTGAGCCCCAGCTGCTCTGCTGCCTGGAATCCTGTCCAACTTTTCCCACTTTGCTCAGAGAAGCCAGAAATGATGTCTAACAGCTTCTGTGTAACTGGATTTTCTCAAAATATCCAGCAGCTTCTGCCCCATCGAACACTTTTAATCTTATCCATCCTCTGGCACCCACCACACATCCCTGCCTGGATTTCCTTTAATAAAAATCTCGTTGTCTACATTGCCGGCCATTTCGTAGACAGAAGTCCCGCTGTGTGTCCAGGAGCTATAGTTAATAAGATAGTCTGCTCAGCGTGGCGAGATGGTCAGAACCATAAATTTGGGAGTCAGACAGACCTCGCTGGCCAACCCGCAGCAACTTCTCCACCCCTCACTCTCCCTCTTTGTGAAACTGAGTTGAGGTCTAACTGGTGGGCATGAGGATGAAAGTAAGAAGTTTAGCAAGGAGCTTGGCATGGAGCAAATGGCAAGTGAATTGTACTAGTCGTTAGTCAAATGAATTTTTCAGTGTTGCCTGCGACACTCAGTAATGTGTCCTAATATACATGTGTGTGATTATATTTATTGAGCATTTCATGGAAGTAATCCTAATCTTCTTGTCTTCCTATTCCTTGTATCCTCACTTTATCTTTTGAACTTTGATGGGAGGTTATTTTTATTTTCAGTTTATGTCACTAAAACACTCAGTCTAAATAACTGCTGTGGTCCTTCATCTCTGGATGTGTGTGTGCCTGGGTTAGACTGGACCCAGAGCCTGCATCCCCTCTGGATTTCGGTCGCAGGCTTCCTATGCTTCGGGTCAGCGCTGTTAACTGCTCTCTGACTTTGGTCTTGCCTGATAAAGTAACATTTCCACTCTCCATTATTCACAGTGAGAAACAACCTAGTCCCACACAGCTGATTCTCGTGCCAGTAGGAAAAGAAAGAAGTGACTTAGGATAAAGTATTTCATGAAAATGTTGAACAAGCAGGATCTTATAAAGATTTGAATGAAACAAAAAATGTGAAGAGCTGTGATAGTTGGTAAATGGAGTTTATAGACTTAGGGACATAGTATAATCTTAATTTGACATCTTTTCAGTTTTATATTTATCAAATACCAAGTACTTCTATTTAAAATTGGCCACTTGCTCGTCCTTGATTTTAAAACTCTAAGTTGGAACGTGAGAATAAATTTCTAAGCATTGTGACTGGTGGGGTGTCCGTCACCGATGCCAGGCCTGCCCCTCCCCTGTGTCAGGCTAGGCTCCCCTTCACCTGTTAACCTGCGCAGGGTGAAGTGCTGCTTCCTAAAAATGGGAGAGATAGTCATGTCTCTGAAGTGAATGTCGTCATTCTCTCTCCCTTAGCTCAGGTGTCTTTGGGGCAGTGTCTTTAGGAAAGGTTTGTAGAAACTGCAGCCCGCTACCTGAGATGCTACAGATCAGGGGCTTTAGAATTTAAAAAAAACCAAAAAACTCCCAAGTAGTCCATTTTTGTCAGGAAGGCTCACAGAGGTGCTGACTGGCACTGTGGTTTGACTTGCAGGTGGACTGCACACAGCACCATGAGCTCTGCTCGGGAAACCAGGTCCGCGGCTACCCCACGCTCCTCTGGTTCCGGGACGGTAAGAAGGTGCGTCTTCAGTCTCAGTGGTGAGACAGACGTTGCTCTTACTCACCACGAGCTGAGCTGTCAAGGGGCTTGATAGGCGTGCAAATTGCCAGAATGGACCGTTTGGGCACCGGTTTAAAGGATACATGTAATGAAACAAAAATGCCTTTCTCTTAACTGATAAGATTTGAGTAGTTGAGAAAAATTGTCAGTTATTATACTGTTTTGAAACCTTTCATTTGGCTCAGGTTATCACTAGAATAACCCAAATCTGTCGTACAGTAACTGAGATCTGGTCGTGACCGCTGAGCAGGGTCATGTTCACTCTTGGTAAGGTTCTCACTCCCTCCCTGCCCTCCCTGGCCAATGGGCAGCTTCTCAGAGTACCTGTGACGGCAGCCGGGCTCTGCAGAAGGAAGGAGCAGGNCCCTCCCTGGCCAATGGGCAGCTTCTCAGAGTACCTGTGGCGGCAGCCGGGCTCTGCAGAAGGAGCAGAAAAGTTCTCTCACCAAAGCCAAACCCTCGGGTTATAGTCCGTGCTCTCCCATTTAAATCTGCATGTGCAGACATCACACAGCTCACACAACCGTGGGAAGGCACCTGATGGCACGTTCATGTGGGTGAGTGGGGGAGGGGGAGGTTTGTGTGGTTCCAGCACTTAAGTGTACTAACTTGGCCGTGTTTCTGTGTGGCCCTTCTCTGGACAGATTGACCAGTACAAGGGAAAGCGGGATCTGGACTCGCTGAGAGAATACGTGGAATCACAGTTCCAGAACGCGGACAGGGGTGCCCCAGAGACCCCGCCCTCGGAGGCCCCAGTGCTGCCTGTAGAGCCCAAGGCTGACAAGGTGGGTGCCTGCCCCAACGCCTCCCGCAGAGGGCTTTCTCCTGTGATGCTGGGGACACTGACAATTTGAGGACAGTACAGAGCAATTCAGATGGTTGGTTACAGCTGACTTTTCAACATGAAGCGTTTTCTTTGACTACTTTTACATGCTTATAAGGGCAAACAGAAACAAAAGCTTCCCTGAAATCCTTGTAAGGAAAATCCTAAGAGTGGAGTCAAGACTCTGGGAACTTCCTCCTTTTGATTAAGTCAACACTGTGCTTGAGGGTATTTGCTCTGAAAGCTTGTCTGCTGCCTTGTGGGCTGCGTCTCTGTTCATTTCCACAACATGCTGCAGGCATTTTACTTGAGCCTGTGGTTTATAAGGACGGTGAAAGATCTATAGAAAGTTGAAGGCAGGTGCTGGAGGACCTTTAATTTGCTCAGCAGTCTCTGACTTGCTGAAGGTATCTTCATTCATTCCGACAGTGTGAGGTTTTAGATTCGTTCTGTGATTATCGAGCCCTTGTTATGTTTCAGGCACAGTCCTTGGCTGCCAGGAAACAAAATCAAGTACGGCCATGTTCCTGCCTGTGCAGAGCGATGGGTCTAGTGGGGTACATATGAGATCACATACATGTAGGTGTTGCAGGGGCTCTGATAAAAGTGTGTGCAGGGCCAGTCACTGTTGTTTGAGAGAGGTGGGGGCAGATAGGCAAGAAGTGTCATTGGCGAGCTGACAGGTGCACCAGTGTTTGCTGGAGGGGTGTGAGGAAGGCCTGCCCCGTGGAGGAGCATGAGCCAGCAGCACTGTGGTAGATCAGCTGGGCGTGATTGGGCAGGGCCGCTGTCGGCTGAGGGACGGGGTAAAGAGGACAGTGCAGGGCAGGACGCCAGAGAGAAGGGGCCATGGGAGCTGGGCTGCAGAGGACTTTGTCAGCCAGCCAAGGACTTGGGGATTTATAGGGACTCATGGAAGCTTTGAGTTTTAGAAAGACGACTGGCAACAGTGTGTATGAAAGAGATGGAAAACTGGTGTATTAAGTGATAAAAGATGGTGAGACCCCAAACTAAGGCGGTGATAGTGGGATGGAGAGCAGAAGACCAGCCAGCAAAAGGAGTCCAGCTCTGAGCGCAGTTAGGAAGCTGGGGTCAGTGGGGTCTGAGCTGACAGATTCCTGGCATCGCTGGTGGACGATGGCACCAAGCATGTGACGGGCCAAGGGTGAGAGGTGATGCATTCAGTTTTCAAGCTGTTGATTTTCAGGGCTGTGGTGGATATTTAGGTGGCGATATGAGTGGACAATTAAATAAATGTTTGGAGCTAAAGCAGGTTGTCTACACTAGGTTTATGTGTCTGAAGTTTTAGGTAGAAGCCAACACGGAAGCCATGGGTGAAAATGAGATTTAAGGGGAGTCAAAGTCATGTTTTCCCAGGAACACAACGCTTGGATTTCCTAGCTAAGAACTGTAAGGCCTATTTGTCAACATATCTCCAAAACAAAATACTTAAAGTTGCTACTTCAGTTCACACAATTGTACTTCATAGCATGCCAAGGTCTTACCTGGGACATTGAGGGCAGAGGGAAGGCACAGGGCACCCTTGTTCCTCGGAGAGAGGGCAGCGAGCCAGGTGTGTCTCAGCACCTCCCCACTAACCTCCCACCCCTCAGCATGTACAGAAGAGATCACAGCGTACTGGAGCCTTCTCTCTCTGAGCCCCCGTTGTTTGGAATTGAAAAAACCAGTGGAGCCACCTACCCATTCTCCCAGGGTGGGGGAGTAAGAGGCCTCTTCGTCCCACAGCCCATCCCTTAGTTGGACTCTTGCAGGTGGGGGACTGCCTGGGTGTTAGTTAAAAGTTGAAGTTTTGGTTTAAGAAGTAAACAAATGACTTTGTAGTTGTTATGACCACATATGTTAGAGGAGTGTGTGTGTCATGGTGGTTAGAAAGGTCATCCCAAATTGAGTATAATTATATACTATGGATGTTTTCATCAAACAGAGAACGGTTTCTATTTATAATAAAGTTTTCCACCATTAAGTGGGGCTTTCAGTGAGTGTGGCGTCCTGTTTCTGGACATAAAGAAAGATGGTAGTGTTCTACAATGGCCCCCTTGGCACACACCACCTCCCAATCACTGACATGCGTCACCTGATGCCAGACTCAGGCAGAGCAGCCCTGGTACATTTAGCCACATGATAAATCATCCATATTCTTGCTCTCATGAGAGAATAGCACATGTATTTCTGGAGAAACACGAGACATGCTTCTCTGAAGAACTTTGGAGATAGAATCACTGTAGAGCAGGCTGCCTTGTGGCACCTTTCCCCTAATTACACAGCCAGAGCTTAGAGGAACAGTTTTTACATTTACTTTGAATGTAAAAATGGAAAGAAGCCTGTTCTATGTAAAACACATCATTGCCTGTGCTTTGGTAACTTCTTGTAAGGTCTCTCTATGACATAGAGGAGATCATTTTTATGAGTCCATATGCTTAGAGACTGGTCGAGTCAGTGGGAGAAGCCACGTGTACAGACTGCAGGAGGGCCTAACGAGAGGGTGTCTGGACTCTCCGGTGTCGGTGTTGGAGACTCCACGCCTGGGAGGTCAGATTCGAGCCCTGTCCGCTGAGAGCCGACTGGTCTGCACTCCCGAGTCCTGAAGGATAGCAGCTGCACCTGCACCCGCCCTGGGCTGGCAGGGAGCAGAGTGCTAGACTGTGCCCTGCCACCCCCTCGAAGCGTCTCATGGGCTCAGGACCCACGGGACCTGTGATGAACCTCCGCCCTTCAGAGGCACAGCTCTACCCTTCGTGTCGTTTGTGAAATGCAAGTTGTGTAGGTATTTTTGTGTGACCTTGGAGTATTCATAACAGCACTTAAAACTATTGATTTGTGTTTCTGCAACCCCGGAGCATGCTCCCGCTGTGCTCTGAGTGATGTATCTGAATTATGGCTTTTCCACCCCCTGAAGGGCGCTGTGTTGGCACTCACGGAAAATAACTTTGATGACACTATTGCAGAAGGATTGACCTTCGTCAAGTTTTATGCTCCATGGTAAGTGGCTCCTTAATTAGAAACTACTTTTCCTAGTGCACTGCGGGCCCATCGTGCTTTTCAGCTCAGTAGCCAACCCTCCAGGATCACGGTTGGGCAGATACTCCATTCACACCTAGGTGGTTGTAGGAAATAAGGAAACGTTACCTGGTGCTCCTGTGTTCAGTGTGCTTGAGTGTGGGTGGCATTCCTACACTGTTATTTATGGAGGGGGAGGTTAATTTATTTTGAAGTTGAGTCTGCTTTTCAGAAAACAGGATAACGGGGGACAATTATGACGGCCATACAGAGCTTAGGTTCTGTGGCATCTGTGCTCCAAATAGATTGCTTGCTTTGGTTAAATAAATGTAGCTTTGCTCCTTAGTCTCTTTTAGATGTCATAGGGAAATCTGGTCGAGCTCAACTTTCTGTTAGAGCCATTCAGTGTGTGACCTGATGACCTGCACCTTCCTCCCACACGGCATGCAGGGACCGGGGCAGAGGTGGGCTGCGTGCACGTGGTATGAGACCAAGGCACCCCGAAGTGGCCCAGGACTTCCCGTGAACTACTATAACTCTGGGTGTCCTTTAATTCCTTGAAACCTTAGTTTCCTTAGCTGTAAAATCAAAGGATGCTTTGTCTTCACAAATGAAACATTCCATTTGGGAAAGCAGAGTGCTGGGGAGAATGTTAGATTCCGTCTTTAAAAGCAAACAAGTAAGGTCACCACGTGTCATTTTTGCTCTTTAGTTTGTTTCGTTTCACATATTCATGAGAAACCATAATAGCAGGGATAGAGTTGATGAGCCCTGGCAGGTGTGGCTCGGTTGGTTGGAGCATTGTACCGTGCGCAGAAGGGTTGCAGGTTCGATCCTTGGTCGGGGTGTGTACAGGAGGCAACTGATCGATGTTTCTCTCTCTCCCCCTGCCCTTCTAAAATCAATAAAAACATATCCTCAGATGATTAATCACCTAAAGCTATATAGATCAAGTTTGAAGACACAAGATCCCCCTTTTATTGCAGGGCAGCAGTTCTTGTAGTGGGGGAGGGTCAAAAGAGGGACGCAGTTCCTGGCAGAGGGGAGGGTTTGACCGATTTGGTCAGGGCTCAGTGCTCACCCTGAATCACTGAAGCTTGAGGGGAGCTGTGAAGTTGTTTTGAAATGTTGAGACCAGAAGCAATCAAATCTAAAATGTTTTTGGCGTTCAAGTGATTAAAAAAAAATGTTTGGAGTCTGTCGTTTCCTGCTCATCTCCTGCTCACTGTGCATTCATAAACCAGTTAACCCAATTTACGTGTCATGGAAATGGTCTCAAAACCCAGACTTGTTTTCAGACCAGCTTGTTTGTGTCAGGTTATCCAGACGTCTACTTGGGTTGACTGCCTGCCTTGTTTAGGATGGGGAGGAAGAGAATCGGAGACTTTGGTGTTTTATGAATTTCTAGGCAATTGTTGACTGCCTCATAGAAAAGCAAAGCTTGGCAGCGAAATGTAGGCGAGTGGCCTACCCCAGGACTGACAAGGCTGTCATTGTTCTGTTTCCAGGTGTGGCCACTGTAAGAATCTGGCTCCTACCTGGGAAGAACTCTCTAAAAAGGAATTCCCTGGCTTGGCAGAGGTCAAGGTCGCTGAAGTGGACTGTACTGCTGAACGCAATATTTGCAACAAGTACTCGGTGGGTACCTGTGGATGAAAACACTTATGGGGATGCTAAGTATTGGAGCAGATCCCACATGGAGCTGGAATCTGGTATCGTGGACTCAGCCAAGATAACTCACACTGCTCTTGTCCCCTCAACAAAGCGTTTCTTGTGTCCTTTTGAGGTGTTTTGTTTTTTCATTTTGAAAAGGAAAAGAGATGCTCTCTGAAAGAAAGGCTTTTTCCCTCTGTTAGTACACACACCTCAGTGGGGATTTTAGGCCTTGCCATCTGGGTGAAGGCTGGGAGGTAACTGAGACTCCACCCTGGGGAGTGGGTGTCCCCTGACTGCACATTTTCACTGACAGACAGCTGCTTGTAGCCTTAATCAGATACCAAAGGGGCTTATTTTTTTGACCTAAGCTAGCGTTCTGAAGTCCCATGGCCGAATAAAGGAAGCATTTGAACATAAACTTCCTCAGGGCTGTACCCACAGGCCAGTCTTGTGCTTGGATTGTTCATGTAACTGCTGCCTCCTTTCCGAGCAGTTAGCACCATCTAATAGCCCGCAAGATTTGTAATTTGTACTCTTTTGTGTTGCTTTCTTAAAACACTTTTGAGGCTTCTGATGTGCATTATCTCATCAGATTGAGAATAGGATGTAGCACAGAAACTTTTTACTTATGAGGAGATGCCAGTCATTTTTTTGTGCCTTAAATTCTCAAAAGAGAAAAGAGGTGAGTTTCAGCTGGAAAGTCTATCTCCTTGAGGATCTGCTACTTAGTATGGCCCCCTGAGTGGCCTGGACATCACCAGGCAGCTGGTCAGAAATGCAGGGTCTCGGGCCCCACGCTGACCTTCACCGGGGCCCAGGTAAGCGCGTGCAAAGGAAGGACTGAAGCTCCACCTCCAGGGAGGGCATCCCTTCAGCACTAGTCGAGACCAACTTTGGGTTGGAAAGTGAATAGCCTCATGCCTGCTTTCTGAACTATCTGGTACTTTTAAACGGTATGTACATTTTTAAAATTTAACCATAGACTTTCCTGGCCACAACCATAGGGTTTTTTCTGGTTCTCTTTAAGAAGTAATTTGTGTATCATTCAGACCACTGGTTTTCAAACTGAATTTTTTTCTTTAAAGGTACGAGGCTATCCCACATTGTTGCTTTTCCGCGGAGGAAAAAAAGTCAGTGAGCACAGTGGGGGCAGAGACCTTGAATCGTTGCACCACTTTGTTCTGAGCCAGGCGAAAGATGAACTATAAAGACGCAGGTGACGTCGCCTCTCCTGCCGGGCCCCTGGACCGAGCGGAGCAGCATCAGGTGGTGGTCACTCAGAAAGTGGAATGAACCGAACTTGTGGTATCTTTGTGTGTTTTTAAGCCAACGCTCTCTACAGATTCTTTATTAAGTTTCTCTAAGTAAATATGATCCCTTTGCAAACTAAGTATTTTCAGTGGAATCTATCATCCTCTTTAACCTTCTCTTGATGGAATCTAAATGGCTTCCTTTGAGACTAAAATAGAGTTGAGGAAAATCAACTTGCTGGACTGTGTTTGGCTCCTGAGTGATTTTGGTGAAAGCATCATCCAAAGCATAGTTTGAACTGCCCACGAGCCTGGAAAGGTGGCTGTGTGGCAATACTGACGTTCCTCTGATCTCAAGGTCACAGCTGACTTAAGGTGGCTGGTCTGTGCTTGAAGCAGATTTAAAAACAAAACCCCACAACTCTAGAAGATATCTTCACGGCCACTCCTGGATTTTGTTTTTGTTAATACTTCTCTCCTGGCAAGAGGTTTGCCTTGATGAAAGCAATGGTACTTTTGACATGTGCCTGAGTAAGTTAACACTGATGCCATAATCTTACATGTATGTCGACATTTGTCAAGTCAGTTATTACTGTTCAAGGGATACTTGTTTGTTTTTCATGGGTGAAAGATTTCATTAGCTATGTTAACATTAAGTCAGGATCCATGTGAAGATTTAAAGTCCACGTTTAAGTCCATGTTTAAGATTTGATATCTCCCGTGGAAAATGTGGGCATGAAAAGCTCCACAAGGCTCATCCTGACTGTTCCGTTAACTCAGAAATATTCTGGTCGTTCCTGTCACCGGGGGAAGAAGACTAGATGAGCTGGTCCGGGTCGGGCTATCGGGGCCTAGGGGACTTGGCAGCCCCGCTACAGGGCCCTGGTGAGGCAGTTTCAGTTCTCCTAGTTCGTCCCTTTAGAGACTCACTGGACATTGTCTGCCTTCAAGGAGGTTGACCCTCTGCTGTATGAAGAGTGGGGTTAACTTGCCCCTAAGACCAAAGAATGAAGTAGGCAGGGCTGAGTCAGAGCTGAAGCAGGCTGTGCTTCCGTCAGAGCTCGCGCCGTCGTAATTCACGCCACCTGGTCGTCAAACATTTTACCGTCACCCTCAGAAGTAACCAACCATAGGACTAGGCTCCCTTAAGATACATACCTGTATGTTCTTTGCCATCAAGTGACTTTTCACAATAACCCCTCTGTGTCCACCACTCTTCACCCCACCTCCTGTGCTCGGGGGAGCTAGTCACTTGGCACAAAGTAACTGGTGGTACGAATCTTAGACATAAGACCACTTCTGCTGTCTGCGACAGATGACAACAGAGCAGGATCTCGACCAGCCTCTGCCTTAAAGGAAATCTTTATTAATCGTGTGCGGTTCACAGGTGTTCTCTTAAAAAACCCAACTTTTCAGGAGAAGCACAATCCTCATGAGTGGCTTCCACTTTGCATCACGAGTCTTGTATTGAAAGAAAATCGAAGTGGTACAATTTGTTTACACTATGATACTTTCTAAATAAACTCTTTTTTTAAAAAAAGTCTGGTCTTTCCTTAAATGTTACAGCAAAAACAGATATAAAATAGACAATAAATTATAGTTTATATTTACAAAAAAGCTGTAAGTGCAAATAGTTATAGATCATAAATGTATTATTTAATCAGTTTAATATGAAATTGGTTTCCTAGTACATGATTGTGAAAAAGACATTTTAAAAATATTCTAAGATTTAATCTGAGTCTTACTTTCTATAGGAGAAAACTGATTTTGATTCATAAAGAGCATGACCATCCAAACCCACTCCTAAAGGCTAGAGCCCCTTGCTCAGGGTATTTCCTTCGCTGGTTCTCACCTGTGACATGGGATGCTGTACAGTGAAAGGGAAGGAACTGTTCTACTGAAATAGATGGGATATGAGAGCCAGCATTCCTGAAATTAATGTGCTTTTCAGAGAGCTATCCCGAAAGGAAGAGGCACAGAGCTACTCTCGCATGTCACATGGTGCAACGATGGCCATTAAAGTTGCTTCTCACCCGTGTGGCCTCACTTCAGAGCACGAGCAAAGAAAACAGCAAATGGGGGAGGACTGAGGTGTGGAAATCGCGTGGTTGGTTTTAACCAAAGTAATTCTATTTTCACACCAACAAACACCACAAACAGGTAACAGCAATTACTGAGACACAAGGCACTTCCACATGGCCCTGGTTACCGCTGGGGCTGTTGCTATTATATGAAACTGACCTTCCTGGGAATGAAATCCACGAATAGAGGCATTCCCTCCCTCCCCCAGTTTCTGTTAATTGTAAAATCTATTTTTGAGAAACATTACTAAACCAGCTGATACTTGAGCTAAGAATACTGTTATACCTTTAAAATTATTTTTCTTATTTACTCAAGAACACCACAAATACCTTGATTTAAAGCTGAAACTAATTTTAGTGGGCTTTTTTGGGGAAAGAGGAACCCTTCAAAGTTATGTTTCTGCAGTTACCAGACTTCATAGTACAGACATTCAAATAGCTTCCTACAGACCAACTGCTCACGTTCACTATGTGAGCAAATCATCAGTGAGGCCCTTTAAATCCTCCTTGGGCAGTAAGGCACCAACCGGCATGAAGGGGTTGCAGAGTCATCCCACTTGCACTGCTGTGCTTAAGGCAGGNGCAGTAAGGCACCAACCGGCATGAAGGGGTTGCAGAGTCATCCCACTTGCACTGCTTCTGTGCTTAAGGCAGATGGAATCTAGGAATCCGCGGCAGTGTTTGTGACCCCAGCAACCAGCTGCGCGTTAGTGGCATCCACAAGCTCTTACAACCATATTTCTGTATTTTTTCAAGATGACATTGGAGTTGTCATCAAAGTAAAGAACTGAGATGGCATTTAGTTTAGTTGGCGCACAGCACGGTTTGGGGACATACTCAGGATTCATAAGGTGAACCTGTTCCAAAACAGAAGGAGGGAAAGGGTCCATTAGGAACTACACCTGGCCTCGTGCGCCTCCCTGTAAAGTACAAAAGGCTCTGAGAGCTCACCAGGGTCTGCACGATCGCGTGGTTCGTGGCATTCATGTGTGCGTTGAGGGGGAAGGAGCATTCTCCATCACAGTAATTGGCAGCATACCCCTTGGGTGCGATGATCCAGTCCTTCATTTAAAAAAGCAAAAGCAAGCAACAAAAAGGTGATGAACATACACTCCTTACATCACCTGTGCTCTCAGTAATCCTGTGAGAAAAACTACTCACATGGACAGGTAAGGAGGCAGATGCAGAGTCAGTTTCACACTCAGGTGGCAAAGCTAGGGGGTGAGCCTGCTGGGCCTGAGTCTCGAGCCCTTGCCCCTTCCACAGGCCCACACAGCGCAGAGCTGCTACCTGCCTGCGAAGCCTGGAAGCACATAGGTGGCTGGCTTTATGTGCTTGGACCCAACAGTGCCTCTCCAGGAGCCCTCGGTACTCCCTGTCATGATGCNCAACAGTGCCTCTCCAGGAGCCCTCGGTGCTCCCTGTCATGATGCCACCTGCATATGGAAACTATCTTCTATCACTTGTCATCTGAATTTGCTTATAACTAGTGGTGACTCTCAGGTGTGAGGCAAAACAATTGTGCTCTTCTGGATAGTTTGGGTGAGCTGATTTATAGCCACTGCAGAAGTTAACTATTGGTCCAACCCTTTCTCAAAATTCGTTTAAATGCCCAAATGTAAATACATACCCTGTGGGCTTTGAAAGAATAAGGAAAGAGTACTGGGAAAGAGGCTACTGATTTTGAGGTACACAGAGCTGGGGCTCCCTGGAAAGGTGCCAATAAGGGCTGTGTGCACACAAGCCAGGCCTTCACCCAACTCACTCCAAGAACCTGGGCATTTGGAAGGGCTCCTGTTTGCCTTCATGGGAGGAACCACCTCAGTCCTAGAGCTCAAGGTCTTGATGATGGCTGCTGCCGTGAAGATGAGAAGAGACTGCCGAGAAAGGAACTTTGTCCCCCTTGTTCCCAGAACTCACCTGCCATCCCAGGTCTTGGAAGCTCACATAAAGCTCATGCTTCCTGCAGGCTGTTTTTAATTCACTGCTGTTGTAATCTGTTGGAAGAGATCAAAATATGCACCTTTACCTCATTCATTCCCTCTCAAGGCTCTGTACTAGGCTCAGGATAGCAGTGAACACGGCCCCTGCTAGACGCCAACTTGGTCGCCAAACAGCTCCGTCAGGTTCCTGATTGCTTGGGTGCTTCACACACACTCGCTGTCCTCCAGCCTCGCTGCCGGGGTGGAGCCCTTTGTCCTGCCCTTAAGCAACAAACCCTAAGGCAGTAGTGCCGGTGAGAATCTGCTCAAGTGTATATGCTTCCAGCCTGGCTTAACGTAATCACTGGCCGGAGGAACAGCAGTGCCCTGATTCGTTTAGGCCACCTGGAGCGGCTCTTGTGTGACATCCCTCTGCTAGGCACCATGGTAAAATGGGAGGTGGGTTAGGCAATGCTTTCATCTCCCAGGAACTCAGAGGATCAAAAGGGTCATGAGAGACATGAACAAGTCCAGGGTGGGAGGGAGAGGAAAAGCAGTTCTACTGGAATGGATTTAAGGATATGCAGAGGAGTCGGTGGAGATAAAGTTGGAGAAACTTTATCTTAATTGGCTTAGAACACTAACCAAAACTATTTGGACTTTCTACCAGAGGTATTAGGTAAGGGAGTTTTTGTCAGGGAGTGACGTGTTCAGAGCTGGGATTTTAAAGGATTGATCTCATGATGGTGGTTGAGAGTTTCAGAGGGGGAAAGATGAAAGGTAAGAAGACTTTGGAGAAAGGTTCTTAATCTAAAATGGACTTTGAGAGCCTGAGCCCATTTGCACAAGCTACCCCTGTCCTTTTTTTATCACATGAGCCAGTAAGTTACCTGACTGCTTAAAGCCTGTTTGAACTAGGTATTCTATTACTTCCACTCCTGGCCCTCCTGGCCTTGAAGCAGAACCTTACATGCAGATTTAGATGATTTTGTAAGGGAAAGAGACAGACAGTACCAACTCAGCCCAGTGACCCATCCTGGGAGGAGAGACAGGCTACCTTTCTGATTCTGAGGTGGTTTCAATTCTAAATTTATTCATTCTCCCCACCTCCCTTCTTCACCTCACAGAACTACCCTTGCTGTAACTTCAAGTACCTGGGAAAAGTGAATGCAAAACCACACTAGAGGGAAATTTCCACAAGGCAGGACACCACCGACTCTCTTGGTAAAAACAAGCAAGCACCCACCAACACTCCAAATCAAGACAAATACCTCCTGTTGAAAACAATCCCTCAGCGAAAATAATCAGCCACACAGAGAAATAAAGTACCGAGAGGAGAGTTGGAATGCAAGACAGAAAATATAGAGCCCCAGGGGCTGCAGGCAAGAGTAGGCTCTGAATGGGGTTATGAAAAAGAATATCTAAAATAATGAAAGAGATAAAAAGAAATAGAACCCTAAAGCAAGAACATAATGGAAAACGAACAGGTGAATTTGAAACAGAACCAAATAAAACTTTATAAAAACCATAATCATTGAAAATAAAATGGATGGGCTAAACATCGGATTAGATATAACTGAAGAGAGAATTAAAGAATTGATCCATATATTTGAAGAAACTTCCTAAAATATAGCCTAGAGTCAGATGGCCAGAAAATATGGCTATTTGTAAAGAGATGTAGAAGACAGACTAAAAAGTCCAATGTTATGTCTAATAGGAATCTTTGAAGGGACTAATGAGGAGAGCTAATTGCTGAAGACATAAATGTCTGAATTTTCTAAAACTGAACAAAGGCAAACTCCTTTAAATTGAGAAGGTGCAATGAGTCCTAAGCAGAGTAAATAAATTCCTATCTAGCCACATCTGGTAAAACTAGTATATCAAACACAGAGAAATTCTTAAAAACAACCCTGAGAGATGAGCAGAAAATTACCGACAAAGGAACACAAAGTAGACTGATAGCAAATCTCTCAGCAGAAACAGAGAACACAAAAAATATAAAAAACTATGCCATCAACCTAGAATTCCATACTCAGCTGTAGCGGCCATTTATTGTTTTGGCTACCCAGCTTCTAGGAACACCTCTCATTTGGGGGAATTCCTAGATAGGTGGAAATCAAGGTCCCATTTCCAACTACTGTCTTTGTCCCCTGGCAGTCAGAGTACAGGCTTCTGACTTCATTAAAGCTGATCCAATGCACCCACTTTTGAGAGAGTTACTCAAAGGGGAAACTAAGAATGGGTGGCATGGCAGCAAGTGTTCAGGGTGATGGCCCCAGTGGTAGCATTCAAACCACATGTCCCCACGACCAGGTCCAAGCTAGACCTTGATGCTGGGTTTGGTTCTCCAGCCTNTAGACCTTGATTCTGGGTTTGGTTCTCCAGCCTCATTGGTTGGGTGAGTTCCTTGATACACTTAAATTATTTTTCACTTTAATTAGAGTTTGCTTCTATTCCATGTAACTAAGAGCCCTGACTAGCTAAATTATTATCCATAGTCAAAGAATAGGGAACACAGGGTGAAGCAGGCTCACTATCTCATATAGAGTTGGTGAGTCCATCTTTCTATTGAAGTACCTTCTAAGCAGAGACCTGAAGGAACTTTGGGAGCAGAGTATGAGTCTATCTGGGGGAAGAATAATTCATACAGTAGGAATGACAAATGCGAAGGCCCTGAGGAAATACCTGTCTGATGAAGGCTGTTATGTGTTTATTAAAAACCCATATCCTCTCTCTACCCCCAGCTATCTGATATTCCCAGCTGCAGTTAGGTATGGCCATGTGCTGAGTTCTGCCCATGGATGTGGGGAGAAGGCAGATATGCTGCTTCCAGGCTGGCCTCCTAAGCTCACCTGCAGCCCTCCACTTGCTTTCTTCTCCTGCCAGCTACAGTCAAGGGTCTTTGAAGACTCCAAGGCCCTGGATCCCTTGTACTCTTGAAAGTGTCCTGGGTTAGGTAAGTTATATGATTCCCCTACCTGTAGTCTCTGGAATATTCCCTGTCCAACCTCATTTGGTTTGTGTCTCCCAACGTAAACTTCCTCCAAAAGGCCTTCTCTGTGCGGGAGACCAAGATCACCCCCAAAATCAAACTTGGAATTGGTAGCCATGTGAAAGGTAGAGATTTCTAGGATAGCTTTCCTTCCCAGGCCCGTGAACATGGGCAGTGTAATATAATAAAGAATATACCTGGTCTTTGTCCTGGTTCCTGGCACAGAGCTACGAAATGCATGGAATTTCCTAATTGATAATTGCAACTCTGGTGGGTCCCTAGATAGCTTCAGGGTGGAGGCCAGGCACCAGAAAGACCAACCACATGATTAGTGGGATGGGACTTCGGACCAGCCTGACTTGCATGGAAGGAGACTGGAGATTGAGTTCAGTAACATGGCCAGTGATCGAGTCAATCCTGCATAGTAATGAGACCCTATAAAAACTCTGGACACTGAGGCTCTGTGGAACTTTTGTGTTTGAAATTTTTTTTGAGAGAGACAGAAACATCAATTTGTTGTCCTGTCCATCCATGTATCNTTGTGTTTGAAATTTTTTTTGAGAGAGACAGAAACATCAATTTGTTGTCCCGTCCATCCATGTATCCATTGGTTGATTCTTGTATGTGCCCTGACAGGATCAAACCCGCAACCTTGGCATACTGCANGGTTGATTCTTGTATGTGCCCTGACTGGGGATCAAACCCGCAACCTTGGCATACTGCGATGGTGCTCTAGCTAACTGAGCTACCAGGCCAGGGCCTTCTGTGGAACTTTTGGATTGGAAAACAGATTGGAGTGCTGGGAGAGCAAACCTTCCAGATTCCCCGAGAAGACATGGGCACCTCCCACTCCCACCCACCCCGCTGCAGAGCTGCCCTGTGCATCTCTTCCATGCAGCTCTTCCTCATGTGCATCCTTTATAATAAAACTGTAATCATAAGTATAGTGCTTTCCTGAGTTCTGTGAGTTGTTCTAGTGAATTATCAAACCTAAAAGAGGGGTGCTGGTGGTCATGGAAACCCTTGAGTTTGTAGCTGGCATGTGAAGAAAGAACAGTCTTGTTGGGGACGTTGCCCTTGACCTTGTGAGGTCTGTGTCAACTCCAGGTGGTTAGTGTGAGGACTGAATTGGATTGTAGGACACCTCATGGTGTCAGAACCAAGAAAAGGACAACTTCTGCATGTCTGGATTTCCAGTATCTTCTGCTGGACAGAACCACAATGACGCAGGGAAGAATTTCACTTCTGCCCCCACCAACAGTTCCCGCTGTCTGAGCCTCCTGCTAATTTCACTCTCTCAGTGCTCAACAAAGAAGACTTTCTCTGTAAGAACAGCTTTTTCTTTTAGAGCTAGATACTGGCATTTGCAGTTAAGTAGAAACTGAGGGGAAGAGAGGGGAAGGGAGGAACTTGGCTCTCCTGTTTTTCTTCCTACAGACACTTTCAGGCCACACCGAAGTTTCCTTATTACTCCATGTTAAGTGCTGGCAAAGGATGTATAAGTATTTGTGAAAGTCAGTGTACTCATAATAATACTATCTGCTGCTCAGGGGCCAGGACCCTGAGTTCTGCAGTGGAATTACACTGCCATGCATAGTTTTGTTTCATTTTTAGGGATTTACAGATTGCAGAAAAACATTCTCCCTCCCCACTCCCCGTTATTTGGTTAGATGAATGGTCTGGATAGAGCCAGTGAAAATTTATGCAGTTAAAATTTAACAGGCACATAGCCACTGCAGTGGGATAAACGAAGGCAACACAGCTTTGTCCAAATGGTTCACCAGTCAAGGGCAGTGCAGAGAAGAGAAGCCATAGAGCTGAGGAGATGCAAACAAACAAACAAACCAGAGCAACAGACCAGAGGCTGACAAAACTACCCCCAAGGGCAGCAGTCCTCGGTCTGACTCAGGGGCTGCCTGTTTCTGAATCACGAGAACCAGCAGGGCGTTAGCTCCCTGTCCCAGACCTACACGCCAGAATGATCGAGAATCTGCGGACACTGGACCCCGAGACACTGTCCTCTAGAGGTGGCTCCCATACAGGTGGTAGCATCACCCCATTCACACCCTGCGTCTCCAGACAC